GAGCAGTGACCAGAAGGTGCCTGCATCTTCTCGGGTTGAGCAACCAACGCTGTTATCTGAGTATCTGCCTAGGAGTTGAGTTTACGGAACGAGACGTCTCAACACGCTGGCATCTTTTACCAGGTTTTGCCAAACTGCTCTCTGCCTCCAACTGCAGTCCCACCAGCAGAAGTGTACAAGTTCGTCGTTTTTTCCACATCTCCTGCCATCCTTTGCATTTACATGTTTTTGCCATCCCCATGGATGAGTGAGAAGGCATATCTTTTGTGGCTTTGATTTGTACTTTCTTAATTGCCGAGGAGTCTGAGCACCTTGTTCTCTTCAGCGCTCATCTGAGTTTTCCTTCTGTAACTTGCTGGTTCATACCTTGTGTTTGTCCTTCTTGCGATGTGGTGGGACCTTGCTCTATACACTGTCGGTCGGTTGGTAACGCATCTGTGGTCAGTTGCGTGCACTGTCAACGTGCGATCCCAGTATGTGGCTGTCTTTTTGGCTTTAAGGTATCTTGTATTTCACAGATTTCTTCAACCTAAATGGAATACATTTAAATAGTTGTTTCTTTTGTGGTTTGTACCTTTTAAGTCTCATTCAAGACACCTTTCTCTATTCAGAACCATCAAATCATCACTTATAATCAAGTTTGTTGTCAACTTTGAGTTTACTGTTTTGTTTAGAGAAAAGCAGAGGCATAAGGTGCATATTTCCAGTGTGTGGGCAGGTGTACTGGCACCATTTCTAGAATGTTCCATCTCTTCTCCACGCGCGTACAGGCCACTTCTGTCACACTTCGGGGCCCCATGTGTGCGGGCTCTTTCTGGGATTCTTATTTTATTCCAGTAACCTGTTTGTTTATCCCTGATCTAATTCCCCATGGGTTTTTATTTTTATTTAATGAATAATAATCAGCGTGTTTTGTCTTGATGTTGACTGTAACCATTTCAAAACAGTATGTGATATCTGCTTAGAGGTTTTATCGTGTTAAGAAAGTTCCCTTTTATTCCTAATTTGCTAAGAGGGTTTTTATTTTTAATTATTATCTTTGGATGTTGAATTAATTACATAATTTTGTGTGTCTATTGATATGACTATTCTTTAATATATTAGGGTGTTGAATCACAGCCGTAGACCTCTCGGTGCCAAAATAACAAACGGTAAGCGAACGACGCTTGTGTGATTCGATCGTGGGCCTGCCGTGCGCACATGCAGCTTGCTGATGTCTAATTGAGGGTCTGTGTCTATGGTCAACACTAAGAGCATGCATCTCTGGTCAGTGCTAACAAATAATTCCACTATTTGCTTTTAATCCTTTTGTATTATGAAGTGTATTTTTTTTTTGATGGGTGGTTATCCAGTCTGAGAATATCTGTCTTTTCAAAATGGTTATGCTATCTATGTAGAAATATGGTGAGGTTTTACTGGGGCTTAGCTCTAGCCTCTCAATCCTGTTGTTGGTTTTATTCACAGGATACAACTAGCACTCAGTTTGCTGCCGGCTGGGTGTGTCACCCGAGTTGGCACCCACCATACCCCCAGTGCACAAGCCTCACCTTTAAGCAGAAGCCAGTCTGTCCCCGGTCCCAATTCTACTAAAAATGTTCTCACGCATTTCATCATATGTGCATCAGACCCCAGAGCTGACCGGGAGCTTGACGTGAGGCAGTTGTCCTTCATGAAGCTCAAAATTCCATTTGCACAGTCCCAGCCAAACAGATGTGAACACATTGCAGACTCGGACCTTCGGGCAGGATTTTTAAACACTGCAAAGGAAAAAATAAAAAATCACTGACAAAACCTATTCAAATATTCTTAGAAAACACAGTTAAAATTTAGCCAAGAGATCTAAAAGAAAAGATGGTCTCAGCAAGTCTTGTCTCAACATTGGATAGCCTCGCAGAGATTGTAAAAGCTCTTAGCGGTTTTCTTAGCCTTGATCATATGGTAAAAGGAGGCTTATCCTGACAATATTTTGCAAACAGTGCATTAACTTTATTTAAATTCTAATTCTAGGATACACACAAAAGAGACACAGTGAAGTTAGGTAGGCAGAAGGAAGCTGAGTCCATAATTTGAATAAAAGGTATGGCTCTAAACTAATACTTCTGACTTGTCTAATATATGATTTATAAATAGTTCTAAGGATAATTCCAAAAGTGATTCGGAATAGTTGGAAAACATTCCAACATCACTCATTCGTATGTGCATTTTGGCAGGATCTTTTTAAAAAAAAACATTTGATTCCATTTTTTTATAATTATAGCCTATGAGTACAAGCCAGTTGGGAACGTGCTCAAAAGAGAATTAGAACATTTCCAGAAGAAATTAAGTCTCACTGAAATCTTTGATACAGTCCCTAACTATAGCAGCCTGTTCCGTGGTAAGATAAGGTTGCCAGTCTGGTCTGGGATTCGGTTGAATGATGGTCCCCAAAAGATATGTCCACCTCGTAACCCTTGGAACCTGTAAGTGTTGCCTTATTTTGGGAAAAGGGATGCAATCAAGTCAAAGAGCTCAAAGTGAGATCACAGGGGTCATCTGAGTGGGCTCTAAATGCAATGACAAGTTTCCTTATAAAAGACCCGAGCAGAGAGGAGTCGGGCTGAGAGAGGAGAAGAGGAGAAGGCCCGTGATGATAGGGGCAGAAAGGGGTTGGAGTGATGAAGCCACAACCCCAAAACATCTGGAGTCATTAGGAGCTGGGGGTGGCAGGGAAGGACCCTTCCCCTGAGGCGTCACCAGGAGCACAGCCCCACCCTGGCCTTGATGTCAAACTCCTGCCCTGCAGAGCAGAGAGCAAGCAAATCTCTGCTGTGTGAAGCCACCCGACGGGGGCGGTTTGCTGTGGCAGCCCCAGGAAACTCACACCTTGTTCCTCACTGTCACCCATGCACAGCCGCGATGACTTTGTTGATAGGTCATGGTCAGAAACAATATAAAACAAGACACCCACACCCTAAATTGCTGGGATGACCTTAACTAGGAGGCTTATTAAAGTCTGTCTTATTAAAGACAGCCCAAAGCTGATGCGAAGAAACCACCTGAGCACAGGTGAAAACCTCTTGGGAGTAACTCTGAAGCAAAAGTAACACGAACTTCCAAGGGGCCACTGCAAAGGCTTGTGCACCACTGAGGGACTTTAATACCCGTGGAGTCCCCAGAACTGGGGACACCTGCAAGCCCTGGCCTTGAGGAGTTCCCTGCTCAGTCCTCACAGCCACACTGCAGAAGGACACGGTGGAGGGAAGAATGGTGGGAAGAACAGTGTGCAGGTTGGAAAATCGACTCAAATCCTGCCAAAATAAGACACTAGCGGAGTATGAGAAATTCCTTCAGAAATCCAGAAGCTACAGATGTGTTAGTCTCACCTGAGAGCTGCCAGAGGGAGGTTCTGCCACCAGCGAGCGATGGGGTTTCAGGTCAAGGTGAGCCGGACCTGGCCTCGTGCGGGACACCTGGTGCAGGGGGACGACTCTTCCCACTGCCGGCACTGAAGGAGAGGACAGGAAACCACTTTTAGGGAGGCTGCCAGGGTAACCCAGAATCTGAATACATTTTAGAAAGGAGGAAGGAAAGCTTAAATTTCTGTAATAAAGAAGGAACAGGGAGGAGGAAGTAGCCCATGAAGTTTCAAACTCCTGTGAGTCTCTTGGGGCAGAAACTCCATCTCTTCATTTTCATCCTCAATAGCAGCCTGGAACGCTGACTTCGTTACCCGGAAGCTTCCCTGTGGTTTAACGTTAGTTTTCCATGTGTGGTTGTCCTTTCAGTAAGAGGCTGACACTGGCTATGCCCCAGAGACTAGGAACGTCCCGCGAATGGACCTAAAGCTCCAAGGGGGATATTTGTGTAATTGGCATGGTTTAGGGTTCTTTTTTTATCGTTTAAACAAGTATTTCACATAGACTGTAACTTCAGTAGGAATATTATCCATTTGTTTAAGAACAAATATTTAATAATGCTCCCTGCGTCCCAGCGGCCGTGGGAGACAGTAATCATGGCCACGCCGGCGGCCCCGCCGCGTGCCGACACTCTCTGAGCGCCTTAGGGCTTCAGCTCGCTTCCTGCCCTGGCAACACTGTGAAGTGGGCTCTTATTTTGCAGGTGAGAAAATTGAAACCTTGAAATAATAAAGTATGTAATTAGAAATAATTTGAATGTATTTGAAACAATGAAATAAAGTTGAAAAAGAAAGTGAAACGATTTGCTCCGGTCCTGCGGTGGGGAGGGTGGGTGGCTGCAGCCGGTTTCCGGGCTCGTCGCCGTGAGTCCACACTCCCAGGGCTGTGGTGATGGACATCCCGTCCTCACGGCACTGAAGCCTCGGGGGAGAGAGTCTTTAATCAAATAAGTAATAAAGTCACGCACAAGTAAGCACACAATTACAGTTGCAATTAACCATATAAAATGTGAGGCTCAAGGTGTCGCAAGACGTACCGCAGAAGGGCTTGTTGTAGTAAGTGTGGACAGCCTCCCCTTAAGTAAAGGGATGCTTGTGCTGGTGCCTAAATGACAAGTTACCAATTGGTGGAGCAGGTCGGGGGAGTCACGGGCACAGAGAGTAATCTGGGTCTCAGACAAGATCCAGGTGTCTCCCAGTCCTCAGTGGATCACAGTGGTCTCTACGACAGCAGCCTCAGCATCCCCCCCCCGAAACGTGTTTGAAGAGCAGGTTCCTGGCCCCGCCCCGTGTAGCTACTGGGTGAGAATTCCCGGGGGTGTGGCCAGCACTGTGTTTTAAGAAGCCCCAGGCGATGCTGATGCTCACTCAAGTCTGGGATCAGCTGCTCCCCAGGGGAAGAGGCAGTGGGCCCCGCCCAGACCCCGGCCCCTTCCGCGGATGCACCCCCAGCCCCCCTCCCACACAGCTGATGAGTGACCGCGGGCTGCCCCCTCAGCGAGCTGGTTGGCGTCACTGCCCCGGCGGGCTGGGAGCCTTTGCTCCTGGGCGCTAAGCTGACGCAGCCTCCTCCCTCCTCACCAGACCCAGGGACAGTGGTGCCTCTCGCCCCAAAGCGAGAGCTGTGCTACAGTCACGCCCAGAGCTGCTCGGGAAGCCCAGGCTCTAGTTTGGACCTGTTTCCCTGCCCTCTCCCGTCTCTCTCCTTCTCCTGAGAACACTCTCCCCACAAACCTCTGGAACGAGAGCCCCACGTCAGGCTGTCTCCAGGAAACCCTACTGAGCTGACACGTTAGTCCTGGGGGAGCCCAGACACAGCTACAGCAGAGCTGAGGAGACGAGGGGGTGCCCACGTGGCGTGGACATCTCTCCGGCCTCTTGCCCCCTTTCTTCCCAAGCGCCCACTCACCTGCAGGCTCACCTCCCCCGACAGAAGCATCTGCCCCTGTTTATTAACAGTGGGGTTGCTGGTCGCGACGTCCTCCCACCTCCCGCTTTACGCCCGACTACCCTTGGACTTGGACCCCTGCAAATACCCCCACCCTTCTCGGACTTCCCTCCACCACCTCCCACCTCCCGTCGCTGGCAGGCTGTGTCGTGGCCAGTGCTCGGCTCAGACAGGGGCATCCTGGATTCCCTTAGGAGCACCGCGCGTCTGCAGCCTGGTTGTCATCGGTGCTCCTCCTGCAGGGTCCCGGGGCACAGAGGCGGCCAGTCAGATGCTTCTTCCAGGACACCCGCTGTGGGCTGAGGGATGCAGGACAGAGAGCAAAGCGCGAGGCTGACTCACCCGCTGCCACTCTCGAGAGACTCCCCAGCCCTCCCGGTGCTCCGGTCCCTGGTGCCCCTCTGCCTCCAGCGCCTCCTTCCATTTCTTCCGAGGTCCATTTTCCCCAGGTCAGACCCAGTCATTTTGGTTGTCTGTGACAACATTTTCTAAAAGACATATCATCTGCATGAGAGCAATTCACACCAGAAATCCCAGCCTCTTAACAAAATTAAGATTTATTCTTTACTCCTGTAAAATCCATTTGGAGACGGACCACTCTTTTGCATTTTGTAGCTAAGCTGCGAGAAACAAGTGTCCAGTGAGATCACTGCTTTAGGACAAGAGGAAGAGGAGGGAGAGGAGGGACTCCTGGTCTTACCTGCCCCAGCCGGGAAATGACGACATAGCTGGTCACCTGCTCAGCTGCCAAGGAGGGGAAGGTTTGGGTCACAACATCTCTCTTGTTCCCTTAAATCCCACCCCAGGCATGAGCTCCACCCTCACTCCTTACCCTTCGTTGCCACTGACTCTCTGGTCACTCCTGGTCACTCCCTGGCAGCTGGGTGAGCTCCCAGAAGGTGCCACTTAAAACCATCCCCATGACGTCACCGAGAACCTCCCGCATCGCGACACCCTCACTCGGGGTCCTCCCTCACTCTCCCGGCTGCCTGCCCTCCCTGCGGCACTTGGTGGCCCCTCCATCCTTCTCGGAGCTCTCGACCCCCCTTGAAATTCACCAGGCACCCCGGGCCCACCCGGTCTTGCCCTTGTCCCGTCTCCAGATTCTATTTCACTTCTTGTTCCTGACCTCTAAATATAGTTCTTTAAATCTACAAACTAGGCTTTCTCCTGTCATATTTTTAGGAGCCCCATCCAGTTTCAGAGTTTCAGTTATCATCACTCTGAATATAATTCCTAAATGGGAAAATTCAGCCCCAATCCTGCCTCAGAACTTCCTACAGAAACAAATGTCTGTCTGGTCTCTGGACAGATCCACCCCCAGAGGTGCACATCCAAGACGGTTACCTGATCACAGTCCCGCCAAGCAGCTCACCCGCGGCTGTGTCCACGTGGCTTTGGGTGTGGCAGGTGGCCACCTCTCTCCCTGGCTGCCCGTGTCTCCCGGCCACCTCTGTCCTCAGCCATCTCGCTCCCATCCCGGGAGACTCACTGCATTGTTCAGGTTTCGGTGAAGTCTGGCTGGATTGTGAATAAATCCTCCTTCCCAGTTCCCCCTTCAGGATCTTTCATTTTCCTGCTGTTCCGTGTGGTGCTGGATTCATTTCCTTAAACTGCCACCAAAGAACAATTGCACCAGGTGCACATGGGCAGGGAGGACTTTTCCCAAGGCCACTGTGACAGGGGAGAGAGACTGAACTCAACTCTTCTGACACGAATGGAGGAGAGTTTGCAAGTGACGGTGTGACCAGGTGGGGACGTCCTGAAGGTATCAGGGCAGAGGTCGGCCATGGGACTTCCTAATTGGTGCTTACCAATGTCTGGGTCCTCCCCTCCTGCAGAGACCAGAAGACAGGGCCTGTCTTCTAGGTGGTCACAGCTCACAGGGACGCTCCCAGGTCCTCGAGAAAGACACATCTGGTTGTAAAGCTTGGCAAGAGTCGGTGAGAGGATTTACATCTCAAATGGGAAAAGAAAGACTGTACAGTTTCAAGCTTTTCTAAATTAAATGCCCTAAGCCAAGAGAGATCAGGAAGAAGCCCAGCCAGAATTGAGCCAAGCTGAGGGTATATTAAGGCCACGTGGACACCACGGGGCTGACCTGGCCACTTGACTGCCCTGCTCCGTGCAGAGGCCTCCCCGCTGGCCAGTGACCGTGCAGATCCCCGGCCGGGGCTGCGGGGCCCCACGCTTGGGCCCCACCCTGGCTCTCCGCCATGGATAAGGTGCCGTTTCCATTCCCGATCACACCCCACGTGGTCCGCCCTAAATGTGGGTGCGCCTGGGTGCTCCTCTCTCCAGCTCCGCTCACTGGAGTTTCAGACACCCTTCTAGGCCCAAACCAAATGCGAGTCTTCCACAGAATTTCCCCAAATGTCCCCTTCAGCCTGCACCAGGAACCATTAGTTTTCCATTCTCTTGTCCCCCAGGGCATGACTAAATGAATGGGTGGTGAAGAATGAATGAAGGAGTGAAATGCTTATGTGATGGGGGTGACTCCCTCACTCTACGTTTTAACTCCAAAGTTAGATTTAAGGTGTTGATATCAGTTTCAGACTGTGGAATTTCCACGTGTGCTAAAACATCAAAGGCGTGCCAGTTCAAGCCATCTTCCTCTGAATCAAGATGTGTTGCTTCCTGGCTCTCACCTCAAAATCCCGGAACACGGTGTCTGCCTGTTCACTAATGCAGAGTCTCTGGCTGTAGGTGGCGAGAGGGTCACCTCTGGTTGAGAGCCTTGCATGTCAGAGGAGCAGCATTTGCTCTGACACTCGCAGGTCCTTCCTTCATTCAGGATGTACCTGAGCAAGGTTTTACAGCTCAGGCATCTGTGCAAGTGGAATTTCTTTCATGAATGACTTTACCTTATACAAAAGCAGCGTGGACACAACAAAAGAACACATGTGATGACGTTTTCAATATGCACGTGGATTTTTATGGCAAACAATACCTGGAGGCTAACGGAAATGCAAACTGCAAGACAGAAAACAGTAGCACCTGCCTCCTCGCCAGGCAGGTGCTGTGAGTCCATTCAGATTGTGCGTCTGTATTAGCAGAGAAGTGAGTGCCTTGTTAGCCATGGCTTTGCGGTGACAACGGCATTTTTTCTTCCCCTACCCTCTTCCAGGCTAGGGTGAAGATGATGAACGGGTTGCCAAAGGAATCCTACGGTAAGCTTTTCTGATCAGAGTATTTCTTGAGCTAACCACATAACAAATCACGGCCGCACAACCCAGGATATTGATGAATAGTTTTATGACTCATTTGGGCAGATCCATGAAGCCAATTACTTCACGAGGTGGCATTTCTTCACCGTTGCCTTCATCCCTCTCTGGCTGGATCATTGATTAGAGTTTGCCAAAGACAGCGAGTGTAGCATTCCGGGACCCGAAACTGCTGACGGCTGTATCTGGGCCTCAGCACCGGTGTTTCCAGCGCTGTGCTGTGGTTGCTTAGGCTGGCTTAATCATTCTATCGTTATAGGAGGTTTAGCAACTTCACATAAATAAAGTGGAAGAACATCCACAGTAATATTAGACAGACTCTGTAATTCTTAGCTTCTGATCTCGGACTCTTTGGGAACTGCCTTCCCCCTCACCCTCCCTTTTTATTGGAGAATTTGAACATTCAATCTAGACACACATTCAGGCATCATTTGCTCAGTTTGAAGGAGTCAGTTAAATTAAAATCTCCAGCTGGAAAAAAAGTACACATTAGTAGTTAATTTTGATTTTTCTAGCTTAAATACAATAGAATTATGTCTGGGTACAGTTTCACTGATGCACTCTGCTATTAGCAAGGGGAACAATTTGCAACTAGCAAATGGTATGTGAATCCATGCACATGCATAATTGGAAAATTAGGAGCAAATAAAACATTTCTTCAAATGATGTATTTTTGCACAGTTTGCTCTCCTTCAACCTTGTGCTGATGCATAATTAATGGAGAGATGTGTTCACTTAACCACCAACTTCTGGAGCCTGCCCTCGGGCAGCTATTCCGTCTCAGAGACCCAATGCAGTGTGACATCCAGTGACATTTCCGCCATCGGAATGCAGAGTAGTTAATGCTGAGAGGCTACATTTCAAGGAAAAGTAGGAGGCAGGCGGTCATCTCCTCTAGTTGAGGGACATGGATGTTCCTTAGAATCACTGCCTTTTAGTTGGACAGCAAAAGAGAGCTCTGGGAAGTTCAGAGCTGGTGTGCCTTTTTAGAAACAAACTTTTTACTCTAAGAGTTTCAGAACTACAAGAAGAAGTGTGAAGGTGGTACAGCTACGATATATCTTACACCCAGTATCCTCTATTATTTTTAACCACTTTATTGAAATGTAATTTATGGACCATAAAACTCACCCATATGGAACATGCAATTCAGTGGTTTTTAGTGTGTTCGGAGTTGTGCAACCATCATTGTGACTAATTTTAGAACATTTTCATTACCCCAAAAAGAAACTTGGTACCAAATACCAGTCACGCCTCTTGCTCTCAAACCCCTCAGCCCTAGACAACCACTCATCTACACAAATCTGTTAGAGCACTTACAACTGAGGGGAAAAAGTCTCTTGCTCTGATGGGGCTTATATTCTAGGTTGTTTGCCACTGGATTCTTGTGGGAGCCCTTTTCTGCAAGACTAGCTGTGCTGTTACTGTATTTTAAGGCCTATGAGTCATAATAAAAATGTTTCATGAGAAGGCTTGACAATTCCAATCTTTGATTAGCATAAGTTGCATTTATTAAATAAATCAAAAATTTACAACATACACACCGTGGAGCACTGATTCCACAGGATGTTAATGTGTACAATGCAAAGTGCGTCAGAGATCAAATAACCTGTGGTGCTTTGTGTTTAAGAAAGTGAAACCTATTTCCTTAGTGAAAGCACTTAGCACCTTTGCCGTGCTGCTATGTCAGTTTAATCTGTGTGCTTGCATGTGAGGAAGGTGTCTACAGAGTTTGCTCAATTTGTTTTTCAGGGCATATCTCATGAATGTGATGTTTTGTAAGCTACATTTAGGGAAATGCATTTCTCTTCCCTGTGTGCATAAGAAATGCCAATGTACCCAGATAAGAAATTTGTAAACGTGCCAATTTTAGAGGCTCTCAAACTGAGAAAGGGGAAAAAAACAAACAAACAAACCCAGGGGAAAAAAATGCCAATGTTACAATTCTGAATGATTTGAATGTTACAGATGCTTTACATATTCAAAAATAAGTAAACAACAACATCAAAAAAATCAAATCCCCAAAGTGAAAACAAGCTGAAACAAATGGATCTAATTTATATCAAAGTGGTAACATAATAACAGAGAAAAATTATTCCTGGTAATCTTTGAAAACAGCAACCTGACTCTAAATCCTTGGTGGTTAGACTTGAAGGATAAAAAGAAACACAAAGAAATCTTAAAATTCACTCCATTTATTGTTTGTAGTAATTTGGGGATCATAACTTTGACACCATTTAATGTGTCTTTTAGAACAAATAACTGTTAATGTCATTGGTGCAAATATACACACATATAAAACCAAAAAAGATAAGAAAATAAACTTTGCTTTGATAAATTGGTCTAGGAAATAGTAATAAAAAGCCATGATTAAATGCGCACGAGCGAGCACACACACACACACACACGCACGCACACACACACACACACACACTAACACACACACACACACCCCAGCTCTATCTAGGGAGAGGGTTTAAAAGCAGTCACACCTCACAGGCAATGGCACCTGAGCTCAGATCTTGGTTTCTAAATACCACTCCCCGTTGCAAGGCTCAAACACAACAGTGTCAAAGGCGACTCCACTGGCAAAATCTGGGATGATTCAAGCATCCTCCCCCAGAAAAACGCCCACAAAGCTTTTCATTGTAAATGCACGAGCCCGTGCAATATTAAAATACAAGACAAAATGAAGCAAACACAAAATAGAGAGCCCAGCACAGAGAGAGTGAGAGAGGAGGTGCATCCCCCGAGTCCCTCCAGAGCCACGCAGCTGCAGGGAGAGTGCCTGCAGAAGGCGCCGGAGGTCAGCTCCACCCTCGGGCTCTGCCTGCAGCCCAGGGAGCCCCCTGGCTCAGGCCCATGCTCCCCACAGGGGCAGGAGGGTCCATTGAGCAGGGGGACAAAGATCTGGCCAAGTCAATCCAACACTAGGCGATTCTGAACAAATGCCTGATCCTGCAGGGCGGAGCTGCGCCAGGCTCCCCTCCAGCCTGGCTGTGGCTTCCTCCACCCTCTCTGCCAATCCCACCCTCTTCCTGCACAGGCGAGGACTCCAACATCATCCCGCACCCCAAACTCCGCTGGCATTAGATGGTGGGGAACACAAACTGTGACAAGGAAAAGGGAAAAGAAAACTCATTTGCCACTTTTGAAAGTGACAATTACAACCACTTCTTACCCTGAAAATTGGCCACTGATGGGAAAGCATTCAGCACTTACCCAGAACCGGTTCTTCCTCTGTTAATAAGAAAAGCTGTTCTTTACAGAAAAGTGCCAAGTAATAAATGAGGAAGGAATGATAAAATTAGCAAATTACCCCCTTGCAATCTCCAAAGAAATAATGGATCCAGGCAGGCAAAGATTATCAAGGGGAAAAGGATGCTGCGTGTTCCAAAGTCCATGCCCACACTCCACTTGCTATGTGCAGAAGGAGAGACGCCCATCCACGTGTATGAATCTTGGGGTCACGAGTTAACCAAGGGGCAAAACTTAGCCCAACCATTTGTGGGGCCGTCCGCTAGTAGGTGTTTCCTGGTGAAAATCAGCAAGGAGCGGCATTGCTTATGAAGTGTTCATGTTGAAAAATGCTTCACCTAACATTCATTCATCACCACTTTGGACCCTACTGTTGGTTTAAAGGGGATCTAAGGATAAAGGATTAGATGTCATTGCCCAGATGCCATCAAATCTTCCACAATGTGGGACACTCTACTAGATATTTGATGAGTCTCTGAAAAATCATTATCTTAAAAAAAAAGACAGTGAGGATGGCTGCTTATGCCCTGGAGGGGGCTGGGAGTAGAGATTTCCCAGTGACGCTGGCTACGTGGGTGGCTGCCCCACTGCAACCGTTTCCCCTTCCTGGGGCAACGGGGTTCTCAGTTCTCACTTGCTGAATCACTCATGTGCCATTCAGCATCCCTGCGCTTGGTGGCCGGAAGCCACCCACGAGAACGGAGTTGCTGGCACGTGGCCGCTCGGACTGGGGGACTGGACAGGGGCAGTCACATGACTTCTCCTGAACTACAGGGAAAAGTCTGACCTGTCTAGAAAGGTTAGTGAGTGAGCAGGCTGTCAGCCTGGAGCCCATCTACACCACAACAAGGTGGGGGACCTGACGGGGCCGGAGCAAATGCAGATGCAAACGAAGCCCCGAGAGGGAGGACCACAACATCGTTCAGGCCCCTAGATCCAACCATTCCTGAAGGTGGTGCCCAGGACTTTCCAGCAATCTGAGCCAGCAAGCTCCCTATTTGGCTCAAGTCAGTTTGTATTTCTTTCCCTTGCAACTGAGAAAACGCTGAGTATAGTAGATATGACAGTCAAAAACGTGGACAAATTTAGGTGTGTGTGTGGGGAGAATCATTTTTAAAAATGTAGTGGGAAAAATGACATGTGAATTTTTATTTTTAAATTTTAATTATGAAACATTTCGAATAAGCGTAGAAGCACAGAATACAATAGAACAAATTATCCACGTACCCACCTCTGAACAGATATTAGCATTTTGCCATTTGCTTCAGAGTTCTTTGTTAAAGCCTCCGTGTGGGTTAAACACAAGGTGGGCAGGGCACATGGCTTTTTCTCTGTCCCATCTCCCAGTTCTTTCCCCTACAGTCTTCCGGGATCGGTGGATTTCAGTGCATGTTCTCAGAAACATTCAAACATACATTGGGCATTCATTTTGTAACAAAAATAACTTCATAAAGTTTGACTTATCCTTTGCTTTTCCTAAATAATATAGATTGGAGATTGTTTCTTATCAGTACACAGAGAGCTGCCTCATTTTTTAACAGTGGTGAAGTAGACCATGGGTGCAGACCTGTTGATTCATGTTTAGCCTGTGTTCAACGTTGTTGTAGTGCACAGCGGCAGCACCCTGGAACCACGGACACCCCGCACACCTTCCCCGGGCGCCGGGCAGCAGAGAAGCCTCAGTGTCAGATGTCTCATCCCCAGGCTGGGCTGCACCCCGCCTCCCCCAAGACAGACCCGGTTAGAAAAACTCACTCTGAAGAGAGTTGTGTTCACAGCCTTGGCTTGCATAGATCTGGCTTTGTTTTCTAATCAAGCTCCGGGATTGAATATTTATTCGCTTCCTCCTGCTCGTAAGCTCACCGCCGTAGCTTTTAAGTGGGGGAAATGTCCCTTTCTATTGTGAGTTGATGCTGAAAGTGTTTGATAAAAGGGCCAATTTGTCCTTTTCCCCACTGGATTTAGATTCGAGTTAACAAAAAGTCAACACTGAAGCAGTTGGTCATACATCAAAGAGTTTAGATCTAATGGGCCTTTGAAGAGATAGTGTAAACATGTGGGAATAGTGTTCTGGGGAACTAATGTTGCTTCAGAACACCACGAGGCTTTTATGACTATGAACAGTGCTTAAATTTTAAATGGCTCTTAAAGAGGTTCTTTCAACTTCTCCCTTTCTTTTCTCTCGCTGCGGTTAGACCGTGAGCGTGGCCAGCCCCGCTGTGCAGGCACAGGTACCCTGCCGCGGGGAGGCGGAGACACGCCTGACTTCCCCTGCCGCACCCTTGTGTCGTGGAAACTGGACTTTTCTCTACTGGCCACGAGATCCCTCAACACCTGCGGGACTCTTCTCACGGTGCCTCGTCGGGGGGTTCCGTGTGCCGAGAAGGTGTGCTCTGGGCTCATTTTCGTGTGCTCTTGCAAGGTGCTGTAGGACTGGAGGTCGAGTGACTAGAGCTGGGGACACGAGACTATTAATGCCGCAGAACTGCTCTGTCCCTCTCTGACTCACCGTTGGGGCTCCAGCGAGTATTGTACCACAGTGCCTGGCACACAGGAAGCCTCGACAAATATTTATTTAGTGAAAAAATATGAATAAGTAATCTTTTTAAATACACCATACCAAGTAGATGAGACTAACTGTCAAAGTGAGGACAGCAGGAAAAATCACACAACACAGCAGCAATTCTGCAAGAAAGCAACAGAAAGCAAACGAGACAGCAAATGCCTGGGCACGATGCAGGGAAGGGAGTGACTTCAAGGGCTGCTTCTCTTCTGCAGTCGCTGGAGGGAACCAGAAGGAATTGCAGGGTGCCATTGCAGGGTGCGCGGCTTGGCTTCTAACTGTCTCGGCCATGGAAACTGGGTTGAGAAGAACCCAGATCGCTTTGGCAAACAATACATCAGCTGAGCCCTGAGTCATTCCTACGAACAATTTCAAAAACACGCTATATAATATAGACAGGCCCATGAGATGGCAAGACAACTATACAAAAAACAGTAGAAAATACAGGTAACAGGAATAGAGTCAAAGGAGATCCAAAAAATACAGTTGTTGAACCGAAAAAAAAAAGAATCATCGATTGAAAATCCTAGAACAGAACAATATATGAACAAATATTAAAACTCAGTTGATGGATTTAACATACATTGGATGCAGAAAGAATCAGCAAAGCGGAAAGTAGGTCAGATGTCAATGTCAAGAATAAATCATAGAGTGACAAATCACGGAAAGTACAGGATAGAGCACAAGAGACACCAAGAAAAGGACCAGCACGCGTGTCATCGGAATTGCAGGGCAGGGGGGAGAGAAAATTGAAGAGAAACAACATTATATTGGCAGATAACTTTTCAAAACTAATAAAAGACAAAAGTACAAATCTAAGAAGCTTTATAAACCCAAACATTGCAAACAAACACAGACACACACACAGGCACATGAAGGTGCATTATAGTAAAACTTCTGAAAACCAAAGGCAAAGAGAATTTTAAACTTTCTCCAACATTGCCAGAGGAAAGAGGCCGGATTCTTCAAAAGAGCAATGTGAACTGAAATTGACAACTCTCATCTCAATAGAAGAAATAGACAAGCCCAAAGACAGTGAAAACAGATAAAATAAAATAAAATAAGTGTTAAAGGACTAAAAGAAAATACCTTCCAAGCTTAAAATTCTGTCCAGCTCAATAATAATCTTTAGTAAGGTAGAGGAAGTAAATACATTTTCAGATAAATATACATGGAGTGATTTCAGCATCACCATGCCAGCACTAAATGAAATACAAGGTTGCTCATCAAGCAGAAGAATCCTATTTTGCATGGAAAGGCAGAGAAAGTGATGAGGAGGAAGACTATGGTGAAGAGGAAGGCAAGCCTAGGCAATGCAGACTATATGCATCACTGTAATATTCATAAAATCTCTTTAAATACTATTTCTTACCCAAGGAGTTGTTCCTTGTTCAATCCTATGGCCTTTCACCCCACACATACATATTTTTGGTCTCAGCCAAATATTCAAGAGGACCCCTGTGCAGATTTCTGGAGCTCTTCTGTGTAGCTCCCTTCTCCTAGGTCCTCTGCCCTCAAATTCTAGCCAGTGAGGTCTCATGAGCTCTGTTTCTGCAGCTCAGGAAAATCTCCAGGCTGGGGTGAGCCCCTTCCCCCTCACCCCTGTTCTGTAGTCTGGACTTTGTTTCTAGGCAGAGAGCCTGGGCAATCGTAGGGCTCATCTTGCCAATATTTCTTCTCTTGGGCTCATTTTCCCACCCTGGCTGTTGTACAATATCCATTTTTCTATCTATTAACTCAGAAGTCATATGCACTATCCTTCATTCACTTAAATAAAATATTTTTATTTAAATAAAAATTATTTAAATAAAATAATAAATAAAATACTTTTACTATCATACTTATGTCCTCCTCCCAGGTAATGTAAAACCTCATAACTCATTATCACTATTTATCTCTCCTGATTCATATGTAGTTTGTCTATATTTTAAACTTCAATAATCTAAAGTGCTGAACACTGATAATTATTGGACATCTAAAGGAGCAGACAAGGTGGCCCATAACCAGGAGAAAAGTCAGTCAATAGAAACAGACCCCAAAATGACAGTGATGAAAGGAATTGCATATGAGGAGGAAATAAAACTATTATAAACATGTTCCATATGGTCAAGGAGGTAAGAAAAATACACTGAGGAGAGAAATGGTCAATATGGAAAAAACAAAACTTCTGTAAGGATAAATAAGCCACTGGATACAACCTAGAGTCCAGAAAGCACCCCATATATAAGAACACTGATTTACAGTAAAGGCAGCATGACAGACCTGAGTCTTCTCGAATCAGGAAAGGAGGCTAAATTGTATGTCTATGTGAGACAAACGGAGACGTGATTTCTGTATCATCCCATGCTAAAAATCAGCCCAAGTGGATTATAGACCTCAATATGAAGGGTAGAACAATGAAACGTCTGGAAAGTATGAAGGAGAATATCTTCATGACCTCAGAAGTCAGGGAAAAGCTTTTTCAAAAAACCCAGAATATTTAAAAGCACTAGTCGTAAAGGAAAAGATTTCTAAATTTCATTGTATTAAAATTAAGAACTTCATTGCCTCAAAAGACACACACGAATAAGTAAAGCTGCAAGGTAGAAGGTATGTCCACAATAAATCTGGCCTGTGAAGGGCTCCCGTGTCAGAAGAGAGCCCTTCCTAAGTAAACAGACGACCTAGCAGAAGGGCAGACAACAGCCTTGAATGGACTCCCCCAAAAGGAGATCGTCAAAGAGCTAATACATTTATAAAAAAATGTCTCAACTGTATTGGTAATCGAGAAAATGCAAAACAAAACCAAAATGAGGCATCTGTTGAACTCACCGGAATGGCTAAAACTAAAAAGACGAGCAGTCCCAGGTGTTGTCCGGGGTGCGGCGTTGGGTGGACGGTCCCGCACTCTGGCGGGAAGGGGCGTCAAAACAGCCTGCATGTGAAAGTGTGTGGGGTTTGAAGCTGCACCAACGTCATGACCGTGCTATTTCACTCTTTCTCGTTATATATCATTTATATATAAAATAAAAATGAACGGCCTATAGCCGTGTGCCACACAAGGATGGATGAATTTCACCCATGAACATGGAGCAAAAGAAGCCAAGCTACCCTATTATTTTTATCTAGGGTTTAAAAACCTAGACTGTAACATTTACAGTTGCGTATTTGTGTGCTCCAACTTCAAAGAAAGGGACTATTATAAAACATGGAGAGCAGATTCCCCCCGGAGTGAAGGGAAAGTTAGCTGGCGGGGCAGGAGGGGGACCTCTGGGGTCAGAAATATCCGACTTCTCGATCTGGAGGGTGGAGTCCTGGCTGCTCATTTTGCGACCAGTCGCTGAGAGGCACATTTAAAAGTTTTACCCTTTTCTGTGTCATATTCGCAATAGCAGAAATGTTATAAAACGAAAAACGGAAAAGAAAAAGAAAAAGCAACTCGGGGTTTGCGCTGGTTATCTTTTCAGGTAAATACCTCCATCAAGAAACAGTCTTAGACGAGACCAAGGAAGACGTGAAGTGTGTATCACGAGATGGCAGAGAAGAGCACGAATACAGTAGTTCCCATCCTGTGCCCAGAGCAGATTCAGGATGTGGAATATGCTGGAATTGCTGCTGGCGGAGAATCTGTTCAGAGCCCCTTGTAATGTACTGTGGCGGGGAAAGGAGGGGAGGGAGAAAGAGATTAAACGCATTTTGAGAACAATGCATGTTCATCAAAAACTTTAAAAAAAGGAAACACGGCTTATCAAATGCAAGAGATAAACACCTACAGTCCCACCTTTAGAAGCAACCCCTCCACACTGTGATAGATACCTTGTATCTCTATAGCTATGTCAAGATATTCACCTATCTATATTAACACAATGCCAGGTATATGGGGAGTGTTCAATAAATGCTGTTTTCCCTCTTACCTTCATCATAGAAAATCGCTTTCATTATTCCATTTGAGACCTGTGATTCTGATCCAATGCTATAATATAAAGGAAGAACAAGGTTTTTTTTTTTAACTCTAAAACTTTGACATTATGGAATTCAATAGCTGCTGGTTTTCCATGCCATGCTGTTCCGGTGATGCATATAATTATCATCATCTAACATTTATTGAGCACCCACTGAGGAAAAAAACATTTCCCTAGATACAGCATGAACAATATTTAAAAGAAAAAGGCAACTATAGAAACCTGCAGAAAAAGAATAATTGATTTTTTAAAAAGTAATCCAACTTTCTTTGGGAAATATTTAATTACATATGGACATATTTGCACATTTTCTTTGTGACATGCTTGCTTAAAAAGCAAAGAAAGATGTCTTAAGGTATCTCAGGCTAGAGAGAAACTAAGAAATTCAGCTATTTATACTTTAGGGGAAAATACAAAAGTGCAAATACTATTCTTTACTCTTTTTCTATCCATCTCTCCCTGGTTCATCACAGAAGGCTCACTGATTCCCATAGTTATATCTTAAGGAATATCTGTCTTTTAAACTCCTAACACTTACATTTAACTGACCACTGACCACCTGGGTCTGGACCTCCCACAGGAAGCTCCAAAGCATCCGTGGAAACCCGAACTCCTCACCCATCCGCCCGCTGTCCTCTAGCAAGCCCCTCTGCCAATTTCCCAGCTGATACTGCAGCATCACCAATTTCTCCAGCTTGAGTCATCAGAGACATCCTTGACATTTCACTTCTTCTCGCCCACACGGCATGAGTCAACAAGCTTGCTGATGACACCTCCTCCGTCTCTCAATTCCACTTCTCCCCACCGCCGCGCTACTCACCGACTCAGCATCCTTCACCCTCGTTGTTGCAAGAGCCTCCTAAAAGGTCCCGTTCCCATCACCTGTTACTCTTTTCTCTGCCATAGTCATTTATCTTTTTGACAGTGATCATGTCACGTTACATGCAAGGTCAAAGACCTTTATGGTTCCCCAGTGCCTGCAGGACAAGGTCAGCATTTCCAAACGAGAGAGCCTGGCCCCTCAGTACCTGCCCCAGTCCAGACCAACACCAATTCCTCCCTTGTAGCGACCAGGGATCCTTAATAAACCTGCTACACACCACTGATTTTCACATCTCCATGTCTTTATTACTGCACCCCCAATTGGCCTGAAATAGACGCCTTTTTCCTTTCAGTCGCAGCAAACTTGTATAAGGTCTAACACAAAGCTTATACTTGGTTTTCCCCCCTGCCTGCAAAATTAGCCATGTTATTTGTCTGTTATGATCCTAAGCAGGACCTACTCTACTGAGTCACTTTCATTTATCATTGCTTCATACGGTGTTCATTGGTGCTTTCAACAAGTCGGTGAGGACTGACTGGTCATGCCTGCCACACCGGACACTGTTCCAGGCACTGGGAATAGGACGTAAACAAGACAGGCTTGAGTTGGACCCTGTGGATCTCACATTCCAGTGGAGGGAGACAGATGAACAGAAGTAAATGGATAAATGAAATCATTTCAGAGCATTGGTATTATAAAGAAATACCAAATGTAAAACAGGGTAACGGGATAGGAAATGACCAGGTAGGATCTATTTAGATAGTGTGGAAAGTCATTTCTAATGAGATGGCATGTGATAACATATCTGAATTAGTAGAAGGAAGTAGGCATGCGAGCAGCCAATAAAGCTTGTTCCAGATAAAGGGAACAGGGTTGGCTAAGACCTGAGTTAGGAGCACACTGGTGGTGTCCACAGAAAAGAAGACAAGTGCAACTGGGCCATGAACAGCAAGGAGAGAGGGACATAAGTCCAGGGCTAGATCACATAGGCTCTCTTTTATGACACTTTTTTTTTTGTAAGTGTTAATAGTTGCCCTAGGACTTACAATGTGCACCTTTAATTAATCACAGCCTACCTTCTAATAATGTTATACTGCTTCACATGTAAAGCAGTATAGTTATAAAACTATCCTAGATATAGAATTCTGGTTGACAATTTTTTCCCAGCTTTTTAAAGATTTTACTCCATTGTCTTCCGACTTAGATAGTTTCCAGTGAAAAGTCTTCTGTCACTCTTATCATTTTCCCTCTAAGTACCTTTATTTCTTTGGATTCTTTGAATATTTTCTGTTTATCTTTGGTTTTCAGTGGTTTGAGTATAATATGCCTAAGTATTTCCTTTCTATATATTTTTTTTCTTTTCTGGTATTTAACATGGTTGGGGTTCTCTGAGTTTCTTGAATCTGTAGTCTTATGTTTTTAATTATGTTCAGAAGATTATAATTCATTATTTCTTCAAGTATATCTTGTGACACAGTCCCTCTTTTCCTTCTGGAATTCAGTTTATCCATGTTAGACCATTTGATGCTGCCTCACGTCTCTGGAGTGTTTTATCCTATTGGTTTTTATCTTTGTGTTTTGGTTTAGTCAGATTCTGTTGACCTATATATCCAAATTCACTGATATTTTTCCTGTGACAAGTATTGAGTCTACTGGTAAGTTCACCCCAGGAGTTCTTTATCTCAGTTACCAAGATTTTTATTTCTAGTATCCCTACTGAAATCCACCATATATTGCTGCATGTTGTCTCCCTTTTCCAACAAAGCCTCTGACCTATTAATCATGGTAATGTTAAATCTCTTGTATGATATTTGTATGATATTTCCAATGTTTGAGTCATTTCTGAGACTGTTTCAATTGATTGTTTTGTTCTTGGCAGTGTTTCTTGGGCGACTCAATTTGTTTTATACCTGAATGTTGTTTTCCCATCAGTGCCACGATGAGGCCGCAGAGGCTGATGTAAGTGGTATTTATGTCTGGAGCAGGGCATGCGCCTGCTGCAATGCCATTGTGGGGGAGGGGATTGAGCCAATCTAGCCAGGAGTTGAGCTAGGTTTAAGTCTTATTGTTGCTATAGTTACTGACTTCAAACAGCACTGGTATTTCCTGTGATTTGGGTGGGTGCTGGTTTAGGGGAATACTTTTCTTAACGATGCTATTCCACTCTCAGCTTTAGGACTTCCCTGGGTGCCTATACCTCAGAAGTGTCTTCTCCATCCTCTTACTCCTCCCCTAAGGTAGATTTCTGTTACTTATTTCTCTGTGCTTCCTAGCCTGGGGCAAGAGAATGCTCTGCTGTCCTGGCCCACCTTCAGTCTCAGAAAGGTTCTGTATCCTTGAGTTTGGGGAGTGGGACTTTCTCAGAGAGCCTACCCAACCCATACTACTGGGAGACCTGTTATGGTCTGTGCCTAGGATGGATTCCTGCCACTTTCCCAGGGGTAAAAATCTCCTTATTTTCCCTTGCTCCCAACCACAATGGGTCTCCACCTACACCCAAGAGGCAATGGGGTTTGCTGCCCCTCCTCCATCATTTTAAGGCCTCTGCTGTTCAGAGGAGGAGGGTTCAGGCAGGACCTGAAGGTGGCCATTCCACTCCAGTGCTGCCACTTAGTCTTTCTCCTGAGCTCCTGGTGGAGAACAATGGAAGGGAGTCTGCAAGCGGGGACAGACCATGGTGTTTGCAGCCCACAGGGGTCCCGTGCCCTCACGATATTCCACACTGAACTGTTAGAAATTCACCAAACAGTGTAGGCTCAGTTCTGCTCATCTATCTGTACGGCAGCCCCATCTCATCCCTGTGCTCTGCCACAGGGCAGCCAGTGTTTCTGCCCCATGGTCTCTTGGACTTAAGGCTCCGTGACCGCCCTGCAGCCTCAGTTCTCTGGTGGGTTCAAGCAAAGTCATGACTGTGTACACTGTTAGGCTTTCACTTCTCGTGAGTTGCATGTGAGCAACCTCTTCCCAGCTTCCTGCTGGAAGAGCTGTAGAGTCTATCAAGCTGTGGCAAGAAGTGTGCTTGGCATGTCGTCAATGCTCTGGGAAAATCTGTGAATTCAACTCATGATTCAGAAATGTAATATTATGCCACCAGTGGGTTATATTGATTCATATAGTCTATTTTCCAAACTCAGCCAGAGTGAGCCTTTTTAAAACACAACACTCCAAAGGCTCCCGTGGCTCTTAAAATAAGACACAAACCTCATTGTTTAACCACTTGGCCTGCGTGTCTGAGTCTCCACTCTCTCCGCCTTGTGCGATGTGCTGTAATGACACTGACCGTATTCCTCAAATGTAACAAACTGTTTCCTATCTCATGGTCTCCTATCTCATGCTGCTCCTTCTGTCTGGAACAACCTGCACACCCTGCGTTTGAAGGCTTGTGTCTTCTCTTCTCCCTTCCATGTCACCTATGCAGTGAGGCCCTCTCTTAAATAGAACCCCCGTGACCTAACACACGCTCTGGGATTTATTCTTCTTCCTCACACTGATACAGGCTCACATGTGCCTCTAGCACTTGAAGCATGTGTTTGTGACTTTCATCCTAATGAAATGTGAGTTCTCTGGGACGATGACCTTAGTTCCTCTCCTTGCTGTGCTGCCCCAGTACCTAGCACTTCTCAGGTGCTCGATACATCAGGAACAATTTGATCAATGAAAATCTGCATTAACCACCATTGAGTAAATCCCTCCGCTGCTCCATGTGGAGCCGCCCAGCTGAGAAGCAGCTCAAGTGCAAGTCACAGTGGACCATAAGGAATGTCTGGGGCTCTCACTGTACAAACCCACCTTTACCTGCCGTCCACAGTGGGTCAGCTTGTGGGGCTTATTTCCCCTGTCGGCAGGGGCCAGCCTCTCACTCCACCTCACTCTCAGCTTCGCCATAGCAGAGGCCAGCACACTGCCTGTAAACAGCTAGAGAGCAAATATTTTGGGCTTTGAGGGCCACATGACCATGATGTCATAGCTACTCAACTCTGCAAAGTAGCACAAAATCTTAGCCATGGACAATGAGCAAATGAATGAGCATGGCTGTGTTTCAATAAAACTTTATTTACAAAGACAGGCGTTAAGCCATGTTTGGTCCCCAGGCTGTAGTTTGCAGATCCCTGCTCTATAAGATTAACACCTCCCTCCTTTAGGTGCTAATCTCAGGCCTGAATTTTTACCTATATCCCCCGTGTGGTTTATATTGAAATTCAGACTGTTCCAAATATATATCTGAAATGCTGTGAAAAGTGGTTTAGCTATACTTGCATGATAGGTTATCGGATGAAAACAAACCTTCATCTCATTATGTAAATGCAGCTTAGTGAGTCCTTACTGCATGCCAGGCACAGTGTGGTGCAGTTTGCACCCCTGACCTCACTGGGGACCACTCCCAACAGCATCCTGTGTGAGCATCACTGTTCCTGTTTGACAGTGAAGGAACCAACCAGTCTCAGCGTGTCACTGCAGTTAGTTATGACACTTAGATTGGACCAAGTGAGATCATGGTTGGTTCTTTACATTTCTGTTTCCCATACTGGCTGGCACTAAGCTGGTTCCTCCACACGTGCTGAATGAGTCCCCACTGAATTTTACTGAAGTGGATCTTTATGCATTGACATAAATGGCACAGTTCTCTGTCATTCAGAACAGACGCCTCTCTGGAGTTGCCAACCCTAGAGCTAGTGCTTGTCCAATCTTCCTGCTTCTTGGACCCCAGGCAAAGTCCACTCATAGAAAGGAAAGGCACGCTGCGAGGACCCCAGTCTGAGGGGAGTCTATCCAAGGAGAGCTTCTTGTTTTTATACAAAAGGTAATTACATAGAACACATCAACCGAACCAACTCTGAGGTTGAGCTAAACAGTTACTGAATTGTCCAGTTGGTTTAGTGATAATGGAAAATCTCATCAACCCATGTAGACAAGAGATTGCAACAATAGCTTTTCTCTCTCTCTCTCTAAAAGAAGGTGCGTAGATCAATGTGAGAACGGCCATCAAATTTCTGAATGGCATCACGTGTGCATTTGTTCCATGAAAGTGCCAGATTAAAAATGCACCCAATGGGTAG